CGCAGCGAACTACACTGTTTACAATTTCATTCGATCAGGTAAGGTCAATTGTGAAGAGGGATAGAAGGGAAAGGGCTTTGCACAAAACTGCTCAATCGTTTCGCCAAAGATTCACGAAGCAGTTTTCTGTGCTGTTTCCCCCACCACTTTCTGCAAGGTGGTTTTTCTAATCTTCGGCCTTAAAACCAAGTCCTCAGGGCGTTTACCCCTTTGTAAATTGCAGCAAAAATCCTTGGGATCCTGGTCTCCTGCCAATAGTTGCATGCTCTCATGACTCTTCACGATTTAGTGGAATTCCTAACACTCTGCCTCCACCTGTTTGGTCCACACGTGTGATCCTGCGTTCCCTCCACCATTAGCAGCTTCTCGTTGGTTCTGTCTAATGACTCTTGCTTGATGTGAAAATCCTAAACTAGATGTTTACTTGAGATAAACTGCTCCGCGGTGCTCAAACCAAGGATGATTCTGGTGAACCACATGGCGAGAAATGCAAAATGCGATCAAAAACTTAAAGGGTCATAAGTGCTGCATTGCCTAGACGTCCCACACAGATTCTCAAGCTACCGTATCAAGTCCGCCGCGACGAGAGTTTCGACTTTCTAAAACTATTGCGCGGATTACTACTTTTATATTTTTGTTTTGATTCGATTTGAAGGCTTTTTCTATTGGCTATAGTGTAAAGGGCGTATACTTTGGTCCGCTGATGTCCTGTCTCAATGCTGCAGTTCTCTGTCTTCCTTTTTGCGCTCTGGTTTGTATAAACTATGAGTTGCCATCCTGTTAACTTTTTTATGCTAACTATTATTGTTTTTGCGCGCTTAACACTGCAACCATCACCGTTATGGCATTTCATTCATGGCTTTATAGTGATATTAAGAAATATTTCCTTCAGTTAATCATGGATAAGCCAGTTAAACTCGCAAGGGTTACGAAGATTATTGGACGCACTGGTTCTCAAGGCCAATGTACTCAGGTACGTCACATCACCTTTTTTATGAGGGTTGTTTTTATATAAGAAAACTTCGTCTCATATTAGGAGTTGTTGAATAATACCTCGGAAGATGTGCAGTTCATATTGTTGCTTCTTGAATTTCGGTTGAAAAAAAGCGGTCGAAATTGGGACGTACAGTAATCTGATTGCAGAGTTGCCATGATCAAAAACAGCAGGTCAAAAGTTGTCCTTTATCTGGGAGAAATGCCTAGATATTCAGTCAAATGAAGTTGGCGGTTTGTCCAACTGAGCACAGCATTTTGTACCTTTCTAAAGCTTCCTCCTTCCTTGTGAGGCAATTACCTTTCATACCGTGACTTATAGTTCATCAGGTTCCTAGTGGTTTAGGCTTAAATTGGGTGAAATTGGACCAGAAACAATTCACAATGATATACGTTGAGCATCCCTTTGACTGAAAATATGACCATTCGCGTCAGTTGTTTGACATAAGTGGATTAAATCGGTCGGATCGCGAATTATGAACGCGTTCCAGTGGGAAATTTCTCATACGGGATCTACTAATATGTTGCCAGTCAATCACATCCCTTATCACGCGATATGGCTGACGTGACGGCATGTTCGTCCATTTTTTAACTGAATAGGATTCATTACGTAATATTCAGCGAGGTTATGATGAAAAAATTGTAACACCATCACCTTTTTACGTTTTTTTTTCGTTTGCCAGTAATAATGTCAGTCCTATCTCCCCCTGCCCTTTACCGTGGAATCTTTTAGTGTGTGATGTGTGATCCTGACTGCAGCTTCGCTAGTCATAAAGCTTTTCAAAAAACATTTGGAACGTTATGAAGAAGTTCCGTACATGCTCAGTATGAGAGGAGGACTATTTTGACTATTTTCATTTACAACTGTTGCGATTCCCAACCGTTCATTGTTTGTCGTCAACTTTAAAAGAGTATAGAGTAGTAAGGAGTGACAGACCCCTATCCCATCAGACTAGTCCTGTTTCGATTTACTTCAGCTTTTGCGTTCTTGGATTTGCCATATTCCTTTTTTCGCAACCTTTTCCTGTGCCTACATTTGTTACCCAATCTGCTTGGTCTATCGGGTACATCACCAGGTCCACGTGGTCATGATTATCTAATCGTTGCCTGTATATATTAGTTCAAGGCTGGGATAAGGTAGTAGTCAGAAGGGAGCAGGTCCGCAGAGCACAGCGTATGGGGTAGGGCTTTTCAGCCTGACTCCTAGACTTTGGTTGCTCCATCTTCGCCGCCTAGGGCAATTATTGCTCTGGAATAGACAACTTTCCGTTTTGAGTAGCTCTGACGGATTGTCTGAGCCATCTTGTGTGTACGATTAGAGAGAGCACTTCATTGCCTTTGCAGTAATGCCAGTACCCAGACATTCACGGTCGTGCATTCCTTTCCTTCACAGTTCTCCTCCCCTCACACCCCTTTACAACGATCCCTCTTTTCCGTGAATTTTTTTCGAGCGTCTTAAAGGCAGTTGGCACGATAAATCGCTATACAGGTGTAGGATTTGTACAACTGGCTTAACAGAATTCCGTGACCTCGGACAGGCGCTGCGTGAAGCCTTTTCCAAGGAGGGTACCCCTATAACGCCCTATTGAGCAACAACTTTACGTCCCAAACGCCTTCCTTGCCCGCCCGCCCACAAACGGACGACCGTTTCTGACGCTCGTATTCATTCATTTGCTGAGCAAATTATGAAGCAAAGGGATTGGTATGAAGCGGCGGTGATGCTGCATGCATATATGGGTACACATATGCAGCCGTATCTTCGGTAGCGGTGATTGGCAAGATGCCTACGGGAAACTCGTCCAAAATCGATTTACAAGGCACTGAGGACG